TGACACAGCGGCCCGCGATGTGTCCGCTCTCCAAACACTTGTAGCAGCGGAGTGCCCGGGGTTTTGCCACAGACACCTTCGCCACCACCCATCCGACGAGGAGCTTGCCTTCTGCAAGCTTCTTTGCGACTTCGATAGGAGCCCGTACCCAGACTGAATACAGACCCCACCTGCCGTCCCTCTTTTGGCCAATCTTTACGTCATTAAATTGGCATCCTCCTTTTTTGGCTATTGCATCTTGCAATTCCAACTCGCCGACCGACTCGTCGATTCCCGAGATCCTCATATCTACGGTCTTCACGGGCCGCGTCACCTTCATCTTCTCGCCGAACAAAGTCCCCAGCTTTTCAGCCAGGGCATCGGCTTTCGAGCCGCTGTTCGCCCCAGGGAGCTCCAGTACTGTGGCCCCCGTTGCCGCCTTGCGGACTCTGAGGGTCTCAAGACCCGTAATCTCCTTCAGATCTATCTTCGACCTCGCGATGAGCAGGGCCTTCTGATAAGTCAGCATCGCCTTCTCCTTTCCCTCGTCCGTGAGGGTGAGGACTATTGCCGACGACCGGGGATATAACAACCTTATCAGTGAATACCAGCATCTTAATAAAAACAAACTAAGACCTGCTGCGCCCTACGTCACTAAGAGGAGGACTTGAAACTAACCATCATCATCATCATCACTACATCACCTGGAGGACTACACCTCGCGAACAACTTCGAGAAAAACATACAAGCCCTGTGACGTAGGTGAGACGCAGATAGGCCATCGCCGAACACATATACAGCTCTACAGTGACTCAGTGGTAATGGACTTTAAAAGAGGAATATTAGGTAACTAAATTAATATTAATATATACTACCATTCTAATAATTAATATATAGTGTTAACTTGATTACACAAGTAATTCTGTATTCCTAAGTATAGTAACAAAGTTAAAAAACATAATTCTATATAGCTTACTAAAATCTCTTTAAATAACCTTGAAATATTAAATTGTGTTAAAAGTGTACAAGGCTACGACGCTAGACGACGTCACCGCACACCTGCACGTTGTCCCGCGGGCCGGACTCAGCGAATTAAAATTATTTTTACTTTATTTTTATTTTTTCTTAACACACTAAAGGTAGAATTCTGAATAATAATTAACAAAAACTCTAAATAATTTCTGGTAGTGTTATCGATAGTAGATATTTGGGTAAAAAACTGTCTTAAAATAATAAATTAATATAGATATATCAGCAAAAATAAATAATACTAAAGGTATTTATGACCTTTAAAATCCGGGTACTCTGCAAATGTAAATTAATCGTCTTATACTACATAATAAAAGTAAATTTTGCCACACTGCAATATTAAAATTCGAGTTATTAAAATTCGTGCCAATTTCGTTACTGTCCGTGCCTGTATTCCACGCACACTAGCGTACACTCAATATAATAGAGCTTCGCATTCCCTTACTTATTATTATTGCCAACATTCTTTATTATTTCTTAAAACTTGGTACTTTTGAACTCGTTTCTTATAAATATTTACTTGGTACTCGAACTTTTATTTCTTAAACTTGACTTTTGAACTGTTTCTTTATATATATTTTTAAAACTTGGTACTCTAAAACTTGTTTCTAATACAATTTTAATTTTTCTGGTTAAAAGGTAATACAAATTAAAATTTTGTAATAATAATAGACAATTTAAGAAAATTTTTAAATTCATCTAAATAATAAGTAATTAATGGGTAGTTCTATTAATACCTAAGTATCTGTGGAAATTTAAATTCAAGTTAATCTCTCCAACCTAATTTAGAAGTTAATGCAAATAACATTATATATTATTTCTTAAAACTTGGTACTTTAAACTTGTGTCTAATACATTTTAATTCTTCTGGTTAAAAGGTAATACATTCTAAATCTTGCAATAATAATAGACAATTCGAGAAAATTTTTAAATTCATGTAAATAATAAGTAACTAATTGGTAGTTCTACTAATACCTAAGTATCTGTGGAAATTTAAATTTAAGTTAATCCCTTTAACCTAATTTAGGACTTAATTAATACAATACTACTAAATACAATATCTTTCTTTTTCCTCACAAAATACATATAGTTCCATTAGTGAATAAAGTTTTAAATAACCTTGAAAATTTAAATCGTGCTAAAAAGCGAACAAGACCAAGACGCTAGCTGACGTCACCGCGCACCTGCGCGACGACTTGCGGGACGGACTCAGCATTTTAAAAATTTTATTTTATTTTCTTTTACATTAAAATACTAAAATCCGATTAATAGTTACTAAAAGGCCTTATAACATCTTCACTTAAATTATTTTATTCGTTAGAGATATAAAAACAGTAGTTATATAATAAATTAACAAATTATAATTGAATTGGTAACAAAGATATGTGCAGAAACATATACTCGAACAGCCACTAAAACCTCTGTACTCTTTTTATTCAATTAATAGCCAATTAATACGAACAAGGTAACTTTCACAACATTTTTTATACTGAAATCGGAAGACTAAATTTCCCCGCAATTTGCTTACGATCCGTACCTGTATCGCACTCACACTAACGTAAGAGCGAACCGTATTCCTTAACTTATTAACACTAACATTCTTTCATATAATATTGGTAGTTTGATTTTATTATTGTGCTTGTTCTTAATATTTTAGTAGTTAAAATTAAAATAGCAACTTACTTTCGGGACTTGTATTGTTTTATGGTATTATCTGCAAGAGTAAAATATACAACTAAACTATCGACTATATTATAACCTATACTTCGTCAAAATAATTGCCTTAACCTGTAATTCACATTCTACTTAATTACAATACATAATATATAAATAAAATATCCTTAATAACTTTACATTTAACGCTTAATACAGAACTTAAAAACAACCTAAATTAAAAAATTTTTCAATATGTTTGTAGTACCACGCGAAAATAGATCTCCACCTCCCCCTGCAAACTTAATAAATTTAGATAAAACTTTTGAAGTAGAGTCTGGCGCTTCTAGAGATTTAGAAACGAACTACACAACTCTCAACCTAACAACTAGAGCCAGAGCTGAAGTCACTAAAATCAGAAGGGCAGTCACAGAATCCCGCAACCTAAGGAGTGACCTAAAACAAAAAATTCTAGAATCCACAGACGAACTTAACATTATTCTCAAAAATATTAAAGAAAGCGCTGTAGGAAACAAACAATGTCTGCCATCACCAACCCTACCGACTCGTAGAATGGACCCGGAGAATGCTCCAACTTCAACCACCATTCCATCCACCACCATAGAACATAAAATCCTGGAACACCTAAAAGAAAATAAAGAACTGATTAAACAACAAACCGAAGAATTAAATAAACTCAAAAAAGAAATTAAAACTAATAAGCAAGAAATAAAACATAACGAAAGCGGAAAAACAATAATCGAGGAACTAAACAATATGAACAAAAAACTTAGTGAAATAGACCAAAAGATAATAAATATAAAATTTACTAGTTTAGAAGAATTGAACCTAGACACTATAAAAGAGGAAACAAGGAATATTAATAAGCTACAAGAAATAATGAAAGAGCAAATCAAAATACTAAAAGAGGAAAGTAATAATATGAAAAGCGATAACAATTTGGAGGAACTCAAAACATTTATAGACAGGAAACTAACCTATGCAAACATTGCCGCAAGACCCAAGGAAACTAAAATATCAGATTTTAAAGAAAAAGAAACGGAGGTTCACTCAATTATTGTTAGTCCAATAAATGAAAAGGAAACAGGAGAGGAAGTTATAAAAAGGATTAGATCTGCAGTAAATGCTAAGGAGGAAGGAATTCAAATAGATAGGATCAGAAAAATTAAAGATGGGAAAGTAATTGTAGGTTGTAAAGATAAAGAAGGAACATCGAGAATAAGGAACAAATTGGAAAAGGAAAAGGAACATCTGAGTATAAAGGAAATAACTAATAAAGACCCACTTATAATAATCAAAAACCTGCTAAGTTATAATAAGGAAGAAGATATAAAACTAGGCTCTCAAGACACAAAACAAGAATTATAATTGGTCCAATTGCCGAGGAGGACTTCAGAGTGAAGGAGAAAAATACCGTAGAAGGGCAAGAAATCCACACGAAGAACATGTCATTCTCCAAGTATCCCCCAAGCTCTGGAGTGCTCTCACTGCAGCTGGGAAAATACATATTGACCTACAGAAAGTCCACGTCGAAGATCAATCCCCCCTCGTACAATGCACTAGATGCCTCGGATTCGGACACGGAAGGAAGAATTGCGAGAGCAAGGAGTCCGAGGTATGTAGTCATTGTGGGGGACAACATCTAAAGGCAGATTGTGATAGATACACTGAAGGACACCCTCCAAAGTGTCACAACTGCGTGGAGTCAAACCTCCAGAATATAGATCACGGTGCCTTTGACGTAGGCTGCCCGATTAGAAACCGATGGGAAGCGATTGCCAGGCGCAGCTACAATTATTACTGCTAAAGACAAGGACACCAATAATAAAACAGCAACCAAGAATGGTAACAATAACACCTACAAATCCATCCAAATCAACCTTGGACGAAGCAGAAACGCCCTTCATGAACTTCATGTTTATTTAACGGACAATGCCCCTGATTTCGTCTTTATCAGTGAACCTTATACTAGCAACATTAACCAAATGAAACTTAATAATAATGACTACACCCTCTACCAATTCCCAATTACACACCCCACCCTTGCAGCCCTCGCCATTCGTAAGAAAGCCGCTTCCACGCTAGGTATGTCTGCTTACTCGACCTCCAACCTTTGCATCATCCAATGTAGAGATAAAACTTCTGGCAGAAAGATTTTCCTTATCTCTGTTTACGTGGAACCCCGACATGACTCCTATGACACACTCTCCAAACTAGAACACTTCATCCTATCTAATCCTAACGCTTCCTTCCTCGTCTGCGGAGATTTTAATGGGTGGCATAGTCTGTGGGGCTCCAGGACCAACAACCATAGGGGCGAGGATGTCTTTGATTTCATCTGTAACAACAATCTCATTTTACATAACACTGGAAACTCACCCACATTTCATACAGTCACACAACAAACTGCCGCGCCAATCTGTCATTGATCTTACACTAACCAGTAACTGCTCACACATTCACATTAAAAATTGGTCCGTCAATTCTAATCTCATTGCTAGCTCTGATCACTTCCCCATTATTTTTAACACCTCTTTTAATAACATCACTCTTACCAGCAACAAAAAACTCACCACATTCAGATATAACACTACACATGTTCGCTGGGATGAAATTTCAGACAGGTTTGCGGACGAGGTTGGAAGAGAACTTCCCCCCATCGATGTCATCTCTGAAGCTACCCCCCATTCCCTTGACTGTATTGTTACCAGACTTTCCCAAACAATCTCAAAGACATGTGACAAAATCCTTCCTAAGTCCCGCCATGCTCCTCCTAAAGCACCATTCTGGAATGAAGAACTCCAAACTCTGAAACGGAAAGTTCTCCGTGCACATCATAGATTGTGTCGCTTTGTCC